AAGTTTTCAGTTTTGTAACAATTGATATTGGTAGGCTTGTATGTTGTAGGTACAATATTTTCAATTGTGTCATTTGGTTTGTTATAAATTTGGTAATTTTTTTCTATTATTGTTGACTTATCAACCATTACCTTTTCTTTCGAATATTTAATGCGTGTGTTTTACAAAAAAATGAATCCTCATTCTTTGCATCTGTTAAGCTTGTTTTTAAGGTAGTTTGTATGAAATAAAAAGCTTTGAGAAGAAAAAAAATATCATTTTGCTTTCCCATGCTCCACATAACGTGGCTATTTTTATGTTGCCGTCTAGACTACCACAATTCTCCTCCTTTATCCGTCTTTATAATCGATAATGTGAGCAAGTTGACATAAAAAAAAAAAACTATCATAACTTTATCTTGCATCACTTAGGTGTAAAAGATATAATTTACACCTAACTCAAAAGTCAAAAGTCATTTAACGTACATTTGATCGGGCGAACAAGTTATTTCGAAATAATATTTCATCTTTAATGTAGGATAAAAATAAAATTATGATGTCATGATAAATATTTCCAGTTAGAAAATATATATCAAAAACTCAATTTATATGAAAAATAACACCAAGATGAAGATTTTATAATATGAACAAAAAACACAGAATTGAAGGCTTGAAACACATGCAAAATGTTTTTCTAAAATTAATATTTACTTCCTCTCCTCTACGATATTGCTATGATATTGTATGTAAATAGTCATAGTAGATATGACCCAACCAATGAATTTCTGCACTAAACAAATAGTGAAGATTTTCTATTGAAATCAAGAAATTGAAAATAATTCTTTGGAGGATGTCGTAAAGAATGATACTCCATAAAGTTATGTGGAAATCTGCAGAAGTTGAACTTAAATAGAATTGGTGATAACCAAAGAATGAAAAGATACACTATTCATGTTGTAAAGATGAATAGTGTTGATTTACAAGATACGCGGTGGAAATAATGATTGACTCGAAGATTGGAGAGACACTAGAATATAAAAATTTCAGGTTAAGTAAATAGTGTATTTAGAGTGCAAGTCATCAGAAATATGACACATAAAGTGATTATGAAAATAAAGATCGATACAAAAATTAGTAACTAAGAGAGAGAAAATCAAAATTTTAATAGATAGCTAAGGTCTGAAATATAAAGAAATCCAGAGTGTTTTCAAATATGTGTTCATTCCCAAAATTCATTTGCCTTCAATCCTGCCTTTTGAGGAAGAGGCCGCTAAGGAAGGCCTTCCAACCATAATGCCTCCATGGACGGGCGGCGTGCTCCATTCTTAGTATTGCACAGTCAGTCCCGCGAAGGAAGGGCAGTTGAACTCATACTTGCCATTCAGAGGAATCGCTCCTCGGCAGTACTAGTCAGAACTAAACTCCTAACCTTTGAAATTGAGCTTCTCCAGTCCTGGGAGAGTTGCTTCTTAGATACTAGGTCAGATACAACATAAACAAAAATAATTTGTCTTTATAGATTCAAAAGACACTCAATTACTTTGAATTCAACTATTGTAATATTTATTTTTTCATTTAAATATATGTTACATTTACTTCAATACCAGTTATATCCTGTATAATTCCTTCTTATAATTTTATTAAAAGAAGCATGTAATTGAGGTGTGGTTGTAATGAGATTAAAAAAAGTAATAGAAGTAGATGGATCGTTGTAGTCGATAAGTAACTGCTAACAAACTTATATACAAACATTATGAGTTTTTTCATCTATACTACATTGTTACATGCTATTGGGTTTGACCAAAATATAGCAGAAGCTGTCACTAGAAAATAAAGTAAAACTTAATGTTGACCAAACAACATGATCTGAATAGCAGAAGCTTTCACTAGAAAACATTACGTGTTTGGGTCCAGTAATCTCAAATTGGGCTTTGGACTGTCATCACATATATACATAACATATGCATAATCATAAACAAGGATTGTGCCATTGTCTTTAGAAAATTGCACCACTTTAGTCAGTTGTACCCTTGATACTGCCAAATCAATTGGATTATTTCAACCATTTGTATTAAGTTCTAGCTTGTTTGTGAATATGGATTGATTATGTTACATTTCGTAATACTACTATATTTAAACAATTTAGTTAATATTCTCATATAAAATTCACACATGAAGGATTCATAATCTTGAATCAAACAAAGAAAGTTGTACATGCAATTATCTATTACAAATAAATATGATTTTTTCAAGTGTACCCTGTGAAATTGACAACGATACATTATCGATCTTAAAGAAGACATATGTTAATCAATATTTCTACATTATGAAATACAATTTTTATTCGGAAACAACATCTTGATATGTATGTGGATATAAGGAGGAGATTATAGTTTCTTAAAAATAAGACACAAACTTTAAGATATGAAACATTTACAAACATAATCAACGTTACTTATGTTTACCTATAAACTATATGTTATTGAAATATTAAAAAAATAAGGAAAGGGCTGCACTGAGTATAAGATATATGAGAACTACATAAGAAAAATGTTATGCCAATTCAATTGGCTGTTTATAGCTACAAACAATTACCCTTTCCTAAATTTAGTCACTTATTACTTACATGTTTTAGCATCATTTATATAATTTTAAAAAATTGTACTAATTAACATGGAAAACACGTGCAACGCACATGTACATAAACAAGTACTTATTAATTGTGAGAATAGAGATTTAACTTACTTTGGGACTATTGTGTCAAAATATTACTTGTTACCTTAGAAACTAATTCTGGGTATAGGTTTGGTATAGATAAATTTTATGCAATTATAAATTTAAGCTAACGTGTTAGTGCGATTTGAATGCCGTTGTTTTAACTTTTAATTGATTTTAGTATCAAATTTACTTTAATATGTATATTTTTAGGAGCATTAGTTCGGGACAACAATATTTTTATATTGGATATGATGTTCATTGTTCACTAATTAAATATGATAGTGACATCGATCAACTCTGTAGACATTAAAATTTCATCAGATTTAACACTGAACTCTACAAAAGGAGTTCAATCTTTCATCAAACTCTAAGGCCCATTAGGATTTCTTATAGGTCACTCTATGTTAAAGATTGAGATAAAATCACTAAGATATAAGGTTTAGTGACAAGTGATTATCTTAAATATAGAGTTCATATTAAAGTATATTAGGAGTATTTTAGTTATCTTGTATTAAGAGTATTACTCTCTATATTTTGTATAACTTGCAAGTGTATAAATACACTATGATGTACTTTTCCAAGTTATGAGACTAGCCTATCTTATCCAGGATGAACCAATATAGTTGCCACGAATGAAGTCACTTCTAGCAGTGACAAAAGTAGTTTGAAAGTCAATGATAAAGGCAAAAACATTGATGATAAAGAGGAGAAATATGTGTTGTTGAGAAGTTGGATCTCTAGTACACTATCAGAAAAAACCATTTACCTTATCGTTGGATGGAATAATGCAAAGAGATGTGAAAAACCTTGAAGGAAACTTACCTTCAAGCTATCAAGGAAAAAAATTTCAATTGAAGTAACGACTTCAAATTATCTTGCTTGGAAAAAAGTCTACATATGATCTCTTAAAAGTATTCTAGTGTATATGTGATGGTTTAGCATCCACAAGTTCGTAGATAAAGATAGCAAGGTGATAGATTTTTCCAAGGAATTATAAAGCCTTTAAGACTATCATGCTTGATAAACCATATTATCTAACTTTGAATCAACTGGTCAATGCATTGAGAGTCTTGTCAGAGTATAGAACATGTTTGCAACACAAAGAAAGACATCTCAAAAATAGTGTATAAAAGCCATATCTTTCAAAATCTTCAAAATCTTAATAATGATACAAGTACATAAAATTAGTAGTAGCTTTATTAGAGAGCTTTTTACAACCGACATAAACCATGTAAACAGCATGGAGTCCAACGCACAACTCTAGTTGAGAGGATGCCCTATACCTTGTCAGGATATAGAACCTAATTGAAGTTGTTTTCTCTTATATTAAGAAAAAAATTCATAATTTATGATGTATATATCAAACGATTATTTTTCCTTATAACGATAATACAATTTTTCGATTCCCATCTTCACATCCAACTCCACCATTGGTCAGCGTCCAAACTCCAATTGAAGAAAGATCGACTAGAGAAGATATAAGTAAATAAATAAATATTTAGTACCAAAAACAAGTCATTTTTTTTTTAAAGAAAAAGAAGTCTATTTCTTTTTTTTCATAAAGAAGAAGAAATCAATTGGAATTTTACCTTTTGTATTAATGATTTTTTTAATAGTTTGTAATAATATATCATAGCTCGTAACAAAATTTAATTTATAATATTATGTAATTCAGTGGCGGCTCAAGCTAATTAGTGGCATAAAGTCAAAAATAAATTGGAGGCCTAAATTTTAATTATTTTTTTATATCTGAGATTCAAGTTATTCTTACTTTTTAATAAATAAAGTTTTATTTTTTTATGATCTTAAACTTAAGATATATATATATACCAAAAAAAATTAATTTTGTGGTCTTAAACATATCATGTGGAAGTTAATTTAAAAATTGATCCATAAAAAGGAAACATTCTTTAATGTTTTGAAATAAACTAAAAGACGACAAATAAATTTAAAAATATAGTATTTTTTTATTTGTTAAAAAAGGCTTATAATAATTTTATTATTACTAAAAAATTAGGCCCTTCAATTTGGGGGACCCTAATGCATATGCCTCATTTTTAAAGGCATTGAGCCACCCCTGATGTAATTATTTTCTTATGAAGTATTATTCTTTTAGAAAAAAAATTAGTAGTATGTTTTAGATAAATTAATCAAAATTGATAAGTTTGCTAATTTAAAAAAAAAAATGTTTTAGTAAAAATTTGATTTTAAAAAGTCTTAAAAAAAGCAAGTATGATCAAACTAAATTTCAAAAAATTTAAATAAAGCGATTTGTTTTTTTTGTTTTTCCGGTAAATGCCTTGCACTCCTTTCGTTCTTCTTTAGCGCGCTTTTCCCACCATCTTGCCGCCTACTCCACCGCTCTCTTTCTCCGGCGGAATCGATTGGTAAAGTGCACTTCTGCTTTCCTGGTAGAGCTCTCAATTCTCAATTTTTGGTATAAATTTTGTTTGATTGAGTTTTGTGGAAGCGGAAAATGACTACAATTTCAAATTTTCTCGTTGATTTGAAGCCTTCGCATAGATTCATATAGCTATGACGGTAGTGCTGGTGGTGTATGGTCAGCGGTGACTTCAATTGCGATTCGAGGCACATTTCCAAACTTTCGGTGACTGTTGCTGTCAGTATATCCTCTTTTACTCTCATATTTGGAGTATATATTACTCACAGGTTGTAAAATTAAGTCGAATGTGTTCTGTGAGGATTCCGTTAATTCGTATTTGGAATAGTAATTGTCTAAGTTCGACTGGAGGATCTACAATTTCCTTCTGCGTTTCCATCGCCCTATAATCATCTGTTTTTTCATATATTTGTCTATGTAGAAACTAATTTTGTCATTTGATAGTTGATACTAGTAGGCTCCTTTTCAGTTACTGCGTTATTTCACTTTTTATTGAATGCTCTTTACTGTTTTCCTTATTAATTGACATGTTTTCTTCGCTGTCGTATTTCCATAACTACTTTGATTTGTTGCACTTGAGCCGAGGGTAGTTCGGAAGAAGCATCTCTACCTCTACGAGGTAGGGTAAGGTCTGGATACACTCTACACTGCCCAAACCCCTCTTGGTATGTTGTTATTGCTGTTGTAGCCCCTTAGCGGTAAAATACTGTAACCTGATTTTCAGGCATAAAAATATTCTTCACCAAAATAGAAGTAGATGCCTATGAATTACTTGCTAGGAAGGTCAAATAATTATGTCTATCCTTATTATAGGGTAAGAATAAATTCTCTATCATAGAGAGGTAGACTTCCGAGTTCTTTTATTGCCACTTCATTTGAGGTCCAGTAGAGTAAGTGTGTTGCGGCAGTTGAATTGCTTATTGATTAGTAGAAGTATCCAGCTGAATTACAGACTCCCGAATAGTTTAGATGGGAAGAGGAGATCCTAAAAAATGAAATTCAGGTTTATTCTTTCCACTGTGATTTGGCACTTCAGGTTTTCAATTTTCATTAGTACAAGGTTTTTTGTGAATTTGTAGTGTTAGTTGAAGTAGGTGACTGGACACACCTAAATAGAAGAAATTGAGTTCAGAAGAGCTTGTATTCGTGCTTAATTGTTGTAAGTCCAGCTTGATTGGTTTTGAATAAAGAATGCTCCTAAATGGAAGAAGTTGAGTTAAGAAGAACTTGGTTTTTGAACTTAATGATGGGCTAAAGAAAGAGGTGAATGTTCATTTTCCTCTTATCCCCCACAAGTCATAAATGAGTTGCTTCTCGTAATATCTATGTGGCTTCAAACATGCAGCATTTGATGTGCAACAAGTGTACTCTTAACAGTGTGGAGTAAAAACTTTTCTAGGTGATGAGCTACTTTTAGCCTGCTAGCAATTCTGTTCGTTTGAGTTCTATACTTGCAGATAATGAGAAATGCATTCTTGTAGCGATTTTGTACTTTAAGTTCTAAAACTTACAGGTTTATATTAACTCCAGGACACCAGAGAGTCCAACGTTAATCTAGACTTGGGTTGCAAAGATGAATTGCGATGAGAATATGGAGTCCAATGTTTATTTTCACATGCAAGATGAGGCAGAAAGGCTGCTTAAAGAGATTAAACTGATGAAGAATGTTGAGAACTCTGAATTGTATGCTGGAATGCGCTTCGATCTCGAACACAATGAAACTTTTCAACAACATTTGTTTCGCCTTTTAGGCTCCCATTCACATGTTCAGGTGGTAATCTATGCTTTGGGAAGCATGGAATACGGTTTCAATTCACAGTTTCAGCTTGCCGTAGTTCTCCTACTAAAACGAGATTTTTCCAATTGGATTGGCAATATACAAGTATATGATCCTTTAATGTCTCCAGCTGACATGCTAGTTTTCAGAAAACTGGATGTAGAGATGTTGACCATTGATGAAAATTGTAGGAGGCAAGTTCGTAGGCCAACAATGTTCTACATGCCCGTTCCTAATTATTGTCTTATCGGCAACCTGTTGGGAGCAAACTGGTCTTCATCTTGTATTAACCAGATTTTTCTATTGACAAACTCATTTCACGATTTGTTGACCAATATCTCACCATGTAATCAGAATGAAGAAACAGTGCAACGCCTGGAGAGAATTCTCCCCTTCATAACAGAGATTGACATAAAAGCTAGTAATGAGGAGATATATATTAATGTGTTCTCAAGATTTGCTTGGCATTTCTTTGATGTGGGTCCCAACATTAACATGGAAACATCACTCCCTGGTACTGGATCTCTTTCTATCTTGATTCAACTTGGAGAATTTATTGGTTGGTCCACGACACTTGCACTGAACAAAGTTTTTTTTTGTGGTTGATTCAGTGACTAAGATTACAAAATATAAAAGTGGTGGAGATCAACATTGGTTGGATTGGCAAAGGTACTTAGATGTGAGACTAGATACCAAACTTTCCATTTGTTATTGAATACAGTTCTCTTATGCAGAGTTAGCTCATTCTTTTAATTGTTGATTCGTGGAAACAAAGCTGTTTCAACTTAGCGTTGTTGAAAATCATTATCCCTTACTCTCTCTCTCTCTTTCTCTCTGTATGATTGTTTCTTTTATTTCCCCCGTAATAAGATATGCTTTTGACATGATAAGTATTTAAGTGTTAGTTGGAGAATCTTGATTGTTTTGGTTGAATTATACAAAGTACTTTGAAATTATTTGCTTACAGGAAACTATAGAGTGATAGAGGTGAGCTGAAGGAACCATAGAGGGGGTAAGGTGTACTTCATCCCTAAAGATGTACTTTTAACTTTCCTGTTGCAGGTATTTTGAAGAAGCATTTTTGGAAGATATGCAAAGCTGATATGTCTAGTCAGGGATTTGCACAAAGTCTTGGTACATATCGCGGGCCTCGCCGTGTAAGATGTAACTCGGTTCCTCCTCCACTAGGTTGGATTAAGCTAAACATTTATGGGATCGGTACAGAAGGTGATCAGCCAGGACGATTTAGTGGGGTTTTTCAAGATGATACTGGAATGTGTTTAGGCAGCTATAGTGATACCATTGATGCTAAAGACAATGTAATTGCTGGACTGGAGGCCTTGAGGAATGGATTAGTCAGATGTGTGGAAGGGAAGCCGAAGGCACAGAAGTTGATGGTGGAGTCCGATAACGTTATACTAATCCAATATCTTAATGGTCACCCTGAACCCAATGAACTAACCATGTGCAGGTTGAAAGAAATTTCCAACTTGCTGAAACGTATAACTTATGCATTTTATCATGTGTATGAAGAAGGCAATGAAGCTGCTAGAGACTTGGCTTTGAGAGATGAACGTCACAATCGGGCATAGACTTGGTTCAACTAGGCAAGTTATGTTGCAGCAGACTGATGCAGACATGGATCACAGAGCAGACACTTGTGTCTTTCTGACTTCTCATTACAAGGTGTTTTTTGTGAAAACTCAAAGGAGAAAAAGAGAAACAAATGCATTCAGAAGGCAAAGACAAGTCTTATATGCTAACTGAAGCAATTTCTTGATCTATGTTAATGTTCATTATACATGTAATTTTCCGTCATCGAGTCGGATCGAAATTTAGTATTTTTGGTTGTGTGACTTTTTGTTAGAAATGATAGTTAAGTGACTTTTGTGGGGAATTTTTTTTATAGTTACGTGATTATTTGTGAAATTTACCCTTGGATTATAGGTGATTTCTATTGCATGGACAAAAGTACACATATACTTCACATTACTTTTAATGTAACATTTGGCCATGAATTTTTTTTACTTTTTTGTCGGAATTGAACTCCAAAATACATTTGACCATAAAATTCCAAATTCCCACTTGAAGTTGAATTTCAAATTTACAAGAATTTGAAAAATAACAAAAATGTATTTTCACTTTTTTCATTTCAAATTATTAACAAAAAATCAAAAGCAACTCTAATTTGTGTTCATGATTAATTTTCAAATATCTTTTTTAATTTTGAAAACAAAAACTATTTTTTTCAAATTTCACAATAAGATATGGTCAAAGGCAAAAATTTGTATTTGAATTGTTGAAATCTCAACTCATAAGTAAGTGTGTTCTTTTATTAATTTTTTTTTTTTTATAACCACTTATTTATTTTGAATAAAATTTAGCTCATTTAAATATTTCATGAGGATTCTTGAGGAGATGTCCTTGTACCACCCCTTTGCTCAATTTGACTAGAGTACTACACAACTAGCAACTACACCCTTTGTTGTCACCATCAACTTTTTCTCCTCTTTTCTAAATTCCACATTTCCATTTTTTAAAGATAATGTAATGTTTACGTTAATTTACATGTATCTTGATTAGTTTTTTATATTATCTTTTATCTTTCATTAGTATAATTATTGATAACTATCCATCAAAGTTGGAATAAATAAAAAGAAATTAAGTTAATATTTTTTCCTTCACCTAAATTTGAACTTACAAAATAGATATAAGTAGTTTTCTTTTTCGTTTTTTTTTTAAAAAAAAGTGATGTACATCATGATAAATCACTAAAAATAATCTCAGAGAAGGAAAAAAAAAATGTAACAAAAAGCAATTGAAAGTGATAGTCATTCATTCTATATAAAGAGAACAGATTTCAGTTGTATCTAATATTCATCGATCGATAAACATTTGTCTAGACAAAAGAAGTGGCGGAGATAGAATATGATTTATGAGTATATAAAAATTAATATAGCTTTTATTTTATACTCGGTATATATAATGATAAATTTATTAAATATTTATAAAATTTAATGTGAATCTAGTTACTATTAATATTAATTTAAAATTAAAATTAGAATTTATAAATTTAAATCTTGAATTTACTTATTAATTTAATGACGTTAGATTCTTAAAACATGTTATTTAGCATGTGAAAAACTTTAGGGGTCGCTTGGTAGGGAGTATTAAGATAAATAATTCATGTATTATGTATGATATTATTTAGTAGGGAAAATTACGCATATAAGCAAATATATACTAGTTATTTAGTTAACATGTCTATAGTTTGCCTTAATTACAATTCGTGGCCTACTTTTTATCTATAATTACGCGGCTCAGCTTTTTAGTTTTGTATAATTCGAAATTTGGATAATATAATTTGTATAACTTTTGAATAATGTAATTTTGTATAATATAATTTGTATAACTGTTTACACTTCAGATGTTTGTAATTGTATAAATTCGTTATTTCGAGTTTATACAAAAATAACTGAATTATACAAATGTACCTGCGAATTATACAAACGAGACAGATTAAACTGTAGCTACAACCCGTAAATATGCAAATTATATCTATGAAACATAATTAAGTTTATTATAGTGGTTATTTGCAAAAGTTCCCCTATTTAGTATATGTTTGGTAGTATTTTGGCCTATGCATTACTAATCCATTGATTAGTTGTACATCTTACATGTATTATAGGATGTATAACTAATACTTTCCATTTGCTGGTATTAGTAATACATAAGATTTAATACCATGGAATTAATCTATGTAAATATAAAAATACCCCTCAAATCATTTTAATCATTTTGTTTATTTTCTTGATTTTATGTTTTATATTTGTACTAATAAATTTATCTAAATTAGCTTACAAATTTTATTATTTAGAGAGAGAGTTGTTTGTTGCTAAATAAATCCAAGGTAAATCAATACAATATTTGAAAGGTGAGTTGTTTAACATTTACTAATTTAAAAGGAAAATATATCACCACATGATGTTTGTGATCTTAATTAAATGTATTATTAGTTGATATATATGTGGTTTCTAATTATTTGTATTTTGAACTATTTATAAAATTGCATACATATTAAAACTACAACTTGCAAATTTTATGTGAAAATGTAGATGGCTTATTCAATTTTACTATTGTTTACCGTCTTTTCGATTTTAAAAGTGGATGGTCTATCCCATTTAAAATTGAAAATTGACGTTTTGTGAGTGAACATTTATTAAGATGTCAATTATTTACCCTCAAATAATTGAAGTGAGAAAATAGCAAATATGACAATAAAATTGTTCTTCTCCTAGCTAGTTAGAAGACCATTAAAAAATAATATTGTCCAATAATTATCTATCTTGACTCAATTACATGAAATAAAAAATTTCATAATAATTTAAGGGTATAATTGGAAAGAAGTTTTTTATAAAATTTTAATCCAAACACAAGATGAGGTGGGAAACAATGAACCAAACACTTGACAAAAAATAATCCCTACATTACTAATCTCTGCACTATAAATATATGCGCTACTAATCAATGCATTATTAATCTTTGTAACAAACGACCCCTCAACATTAATTAGGTCTTATTTAAGAGTTTGGTACACATGAGAAAAATACACTTCTCGCCATTAAATGATCTGCAACAATAAGTACATAAATGAAGTTGTTTCTTTTTTAATTAGAGAACTCGTTTGAGTATGAAAAAATTCTTATTAAAAAATGTTACTTCTAAACAAATTTTATTTGATGAGAATCTGAATTAGTTAAGCTTCAATATGAATATCTAACATGAATGAGATTATTTTATTTTTTTTAATAAATACACCTCTTTTTCTTATGCATACCAACAAAAAATCACGTTTTTGGTACATGCAATTTAAAATTGTTACACAATTTTTTCTAAATTGTATTTTTCTTTAATGCTCATCTTTTAATTTGGCGGTGGAGCCACCAAGTCAGTTATCTCTTGAATTATTACCTAATCATGAGTAAAACTAAAGTGGTCCATCTAATTATTTTTATTAGTTTTGAGTAAATATGGGGATAATATAAAATATATACTCTATTTGCTTCGATTTATTTGAAAATTATGTTTTATATTATGATATATATTTAAAATTTATGTGTCTAAAATATTTTAAAATTATCAGAGTTAAATATGTCGAATCAGATCATGCCATATAAATTGAAAATGTGAGAATATATAACATGAACTTGATAATTAGGAGTTGTGATAAAGATTAAGGACAAGTTAGAGAAATAAATTACGAATTTAACAGAATTCAATTCATTGAAATTTTATATTTATATTAAAAAAAGTTCACTTAATATGTATTAATGTTTTATACAAAACCTAATAAATGACTCTCGTTGGCACACAAAAAGCCGCACATTTCCCCTTTTGAGTATTTTGGCAAAGAAAAACAAACTTCAATATTATGATTGGCTATATAGGTAGGTTTTTATTTTGGATTTTTTACTTGATATTTGATGTTTACATTTGAAATTTAATTAAATTAGAATTTCTATATTACATGATTTATATTTGGGGGCAACGTTTTTAACAAAGTTCTTTTAATTTTTATTTTTAAAATTTAAATTTAAAAATTTAAAATATTTAATTAAAAATAAAGAAATTTTAATCGTGATCCATATTAATGGATGTACATACAAGTTAATAAATAATGAAATCGACCTGACATGAAATAGCTAGGTTGTTAGAGTGACCATGCAAAGCAATTTGGTTATTTTTCTTAATTTAGTCATTAAAACTTATATGTATTGTTATTTTAGCATAATTAAGCTTCAGTATTTATAATTTGAATATTTACTATTCATATTTCATTGTAACTGTTATTAGACAAACAAAAAAATAATTCTCGTTTCTTTTCTCAATTTCGGTTGTCTCTCTCTTTTTCTCTCTCGCTCGCCTCTCTTCTCATTCTTTGTTGCCTACCCCCCCTCCCCCCCCTCTCTTTCTGTACATATTTTGCATTTTCTCCTTTTTATAGCATTTTCATATTTTAAATTTAAGTTGTCAGACGACTATATTTATTAGATTCATACATGTATTTATGTTGTATCCTCGAGAGAGAACCCCCCCCCCCCCCCCCCCCCCC